TACTATAAGTATCTTATAGGTTATACTGTGTATCTCTGGAATGAGGGATCGTGCGGAAAACTGCTAACGCACGGTGGCGCCAGTATCGATGCGACCCCAGCACTGGGCCAGCATGCTTCGCGATTCAGCATTTGATAACTTGAATAAGCCTGTTTGAGCGGTACATGAATTTCACTTGTTTTCCTGATATTTATTTTATCAATTCCACTAGAATTAGTGAGAAATGTTAAAACTGGAATTTCAGCACAAATCAAGACGGAATTTAAATGCAGGGGAGCTAAAACTACTGGCAGAAAAGCCGATTTGATCGACAGGTAAACAAAAGAATATGAACGATAATACAGTGTCAGACTATCGTTTTTTGTTGTTGTTTTTTTGTTGTTGTTGTTGTTTTTACATGAAAACAAGCATAGTTTCAATATTAGTAAGAACCTTGTCTCAATTGCTGAATAAAATGATATAATTGTAGCTATTGAATGAAAATAATGATAATGATTAACTTTTGTTCACATGTAACTATGTGTATTTGGTACTGTCACCGATATTTTATAGGCCTAGAGCTAGGATAGTTTTCTCGGATGTATCAACTACTGGCTGTTTGAAGCGTTTTATCCTTCTCAGTTCTCATTCGTTCTTCTCATGGACTGTGGTGTGATTGTCTTGGACCAGCTGAACACACTTGGAACGGCATATGTTTTTACTTGTCTTCTTTGGAGTGAAGGTCCAAACAACAAAATATATATTTTTTTGCTTTTATAATATTTACTGATAATCACTTGCCAGGCCTACTATAGGTTTTAACTTACGGGGTAAGTATTATTGAAATATTAGTCTCTATCAAGTATCATGCATTATATAAGCCTAGGTATAGGCCTATAAAAATAATTTTGTAGGCTAAGCTTATCTAATGGGACGTGGTGGTGGGGAGAGTGTATTTTGAAAAGAAATTTTAAAACTTGACTCAAATTAAAAAGGTTATAAGATGGGAACAATTTTAGACAGATTTCCAAATGAAAATCACAATTCTTGAAAACTTTATTAAACATAGGCTTACCACATCTAGTTTCAGATACGTAGATGTCAAGCACGAGGTGGTCATGACAAACAACAACTCCTTTCTTAGGCTTCCACTGGTCCAGTCTGAACGCAGGAAGCCACTTTCTATACAATTCCAGATTCGAAGTCTACGGATGACCATCTCTCTTAGAACATCCAGGCACACAATAAGTCGTTTGAGGCATTTTTTGAGCTATTATTTTTATGAAGCAAACAGATAGCACGATAACAAGGCGAGCAGAAAACATGAATAATATAAACATCCCGGTATCTGACTATAGACAAGGACCTCATCGCTACTGGCGCCCTCTACTGGTATAATTAGCACGGTCTCTCATAGCTTATACAACTTTTTAGCCATAATTGCTTAAATAATTATTGTAAGAGTGGGCCTTATTCCAATCTGATCTTTATATTTTAAAACTCTATTTAGGAAGCATCTGAGACTGAACAAAAACCATCGCAAGACATTTCACAATGTGGTTTATTTCTTTGCTTTGGAAATTCGCGCAAAACTACACACTGATTATCTACATTAGCTGCCCCAAATTTTAACTGATAGATTATAGGTAAGGCAGTTGGTCAAAATACACTCACTGCCAACTATTGGGCTAATCTAATCGATTTGTGGGATTTATAATTTGAATGTCACTCTTGTAATTTACCCACTGCCCCAAAATTCTGAGTCAAAATACACTCACTGCCAACTATTGGGCTAATCTAATCGATTTGTGGGATTTATAATTTGAATGTCACTCTTGTAATTTACCCACTGCCCCAAAATTCTGAGTACATTTTTAAGGCAACACTCCGGCAAACTAACCATTAGACTACGCCTGACCTTACACGATATGGACCATTCATTTCATGAAATATACAGTTTCACAATGTGGATGCGACAGGAGAGTTTCTGCTGGTAAACAATGAAATGAAGTAACATGTGTTATTTAATGCGATCACATAGTAAACTCAATGCTTTTCTTACACATTTCGAAGAGCTAAAATTCTAAACTAATAAATTTGTATATATTATGCCTTTATCAGAAAATTACAGTGCTCTTTGGTGATTTTTTAGAAAATTCTACAAATCTAACCTGTATATTACATTCAACAGCTTTTAAGCGCATCTTGAAAACCGCCCTGCAGCGTAATTTCCATTGAATAAGGCTCAGAAGTAAAGGTATCATATCTGATGCACACCCGTCCTTTCTGCTACTTTATATAATATGTCTGATGTAGGAGGACGACGATTCCCCAGTGACCGTTTCAACAGCCTGATCATGTGGAATAGCATGAATACTGGTTTCATTCTTCAGCTGCTTCAGATATGCAACGGTTTAATGGATATTTCGTGGAAGCAACTTCTGTATACGTGACTTGTGTCGCTTTTCCAGATGGAGATCTTTATCATGTCACTTACTGCTTCTTGGGACACTTGGATGGATTTACCACTGACCATTGTGTTACAAGATGCTGCATTTTACTTACCACAGCTGGGTTCCAACTTGTTATAAGTTTCTTTTTTAGTGTCACGTGTTGATCCACTTACCTATATTTTTAAGCGCCATTCGATCCATGATCTGAACACGTCTTTATGATCCGAGTGTATGAATATTTAGCATCAGAAAAAGTTGTTACATACTACTGATAGAAAAGTGATACATTTTCGGTGGCATCACACTACTTACAAACGCCAAAGCCAAACAATGTGAAATATAGATCCAATACACCTTGTTCAACCGTAACTTTATATCTGTTGTGGTTGTCACATGACATCACACTACTTGCCAAAGCCAAACAATGTGAAATATAGATCCAATACACCTTGTTCAACCGTAACTTTATATCTGTTGTGGTTGTCACATGACTTGCTTATATGCAAATTCAAACTCGTTTAACTATAGCGTGGATAATGTAGCGGGGGTATAAAAATATCCACCATGTTGTACACGCAA